CGCCGTCCCCCGGAGCATTTCGCCAGGGGCATGATGTGAGACTCCGGCCTGCCGGCCGTCCGCAGGCGCACAGCCGGCCGCTCACCGCTTCCTGACCCCCTCTCCTCGCTTCCGGGACTGCGCCCCGAGAGGCCACGAACGGGCTCAGCTCGACCGGCGGCGCTCGAGCTGTCTGAGGTAAACAGTGGCGCCGGCCGAGCCCCCCACCGGCCGGGCAGGCCCGCCCACCGGCCGGCAAACTGCGCAGCTCGGCCGGGCCGTCCATGTGCCGCCAGCCGTTGCAGCGGGCCGGCGGCGATCGCCGGCGATGAGGCCACGCGGACCACGGCGCCGCCACGCATAGCGGGCCGCGTCGTGGTCGGACCGCGTTAGCGCTCAGGCGAGCTTCGGCGGCGGCCAGGCGGCAGGAGGGAGCGTCGGCGAGCGGCCCGCCGCCGGGCGCTGTCGGCGCCGGCCCCAGCGGGGCCGGGCTGAGTCAGCGGCCGCTGACATCACCCGGAGCCGGCGGCCGAGTCGGACGCCGCTCACCTGTCACCTGTACCGCCCTGCGCGTGGCGGCGCTGCCGGCGCAGCCCGCTGGCGAGGTATGAGCTCTCAGGCGCGTATGGGCGGCGCCGCTCCCGGGTTATCAACACAGGGTCGGCACCTGCACCCACCGGGAAAACTTCTCGACTGTTGGAGGCAAGAGACACAAAAAACTAGCCGCTGGCCGACGAGATAAGACCACCGGTGTGCTGGCGCGGTCTGGACACAATGTAGGGTAAGTGTTCGAGTTCACCCTGACCCCTGATGAGGATCACCGGCGGAAAACTGTCCCCAACGCCATTACGCCGGCGGGGAGTCGGTGACGTGTGGCGGGAAGCTGAGCTGAGCGCCCAGAGCTGGGCCGCATAGCCCTGCCGGCTGCCACGGGGGACGTTCTGCCGCGAGTAGCAGGGATGACGCGTGGAGCGAGGCCGGGGCCGGAGCCGCGCTGCCCGCCGCCACAGCCGAGGTCGCCGCGGCGCGTCCGGCTGCCAGCGGCGCCGGCCGGCCGCTGGCAGCTCTCCCAGCGCCGGCCGCGGCCGCCCGCGCAGCCCGCCGCCAGCGCACGCCAGCCGCACAGGTGGGACCGAGGGGGGCGGGGGGCGGGGGTGGGGACCGCGCGGCGGCGGCGGTGGCAGGGCCCGGCCCGACCCAGCGGCGGGCCCGTCAGGCCGCCCTCGGCAGCACTGGGCGACAATGGGACACCTCAGCCGGCCGGCCGCGGCCGGCTGTTGTCGTTGGACGACAATCAAGAATCCGGCGGCGCCGGCCGGCCGGCAGCCTTGGAGGCAGCCGGCGCTGCCAGGGCGGCGGCCGGCCCGTACCCCGCGCCCGGGGGCTGGGCTGACCCGGCAGCCACGCCACCACGACCGGCCGCCGTCGCGTGACCTGGCACCGCCGCGCCACATCACGAGTCCCGGCCGCGCGACCGCCCCGCCAGGCCCGCTCCATACGACACCAACACGCCGATGGCGGCTCTGTTTCGACGGCGGACACGACCCTGCTGGCGTTCGACAGCCCGGCCCCATTTAGACGTCATTAGCCAGTGCGAGCGGCGTCAGCCGATCTCAGATGTCATCCGACGATAAAATAGCCGCCGATTGCTTCCGCGGGGCGGGCGGTCGATAGTCACGGCGGCACGTGCAGCGGGCAGCGCGGCCGCCAGCCACCAGCTCGGCACGCATCGTCCATCCGCCCGGCGGGCCGCCGCCAACAGACGGGACGCCACAAATTGAATCGCGGGCGCGCTTCTTCTCACGCTTTCCTGCAGCTTAAAAGCATTGCACGCGATAATATTTGCGTATATGTGCGAGGCGGCAGACGTTCCAGAAGGACAAAGTCGCCTCTGCCAAAGCGCCGTCTAAAAACAGTCCAGATCCGCAGTTCACCGCGTGCGCCAACATAACAAGGCAAACAGCTGGACCGGTCAAGGATCAATGCTGACGAGGCGAAGTGGCGCTCTCTGACGCATTGCCTCCCCCTCAGTACAAATAATGGAGAATCCAGGGTACATCAGCAACGGTATGGGACACTCGAACTTGGCTGCAGGCTGTCCGTGAAAATCTCTCAGGATACTGGCCAAACCAATAGCTGCAAGGTGGAACCATTAGCGAGTCAACAAATAATCTATTTGGCTAGAAATGGTCATTGCGACTAAACTCAACCCTAGACGTAAATATAATCCCTGGTAATACAGCAGCCTCATCAGCGACCAGACTGGAAACCAGCATGATTCATCCCAATTTCGAATGATACCAGATTGTTTCTCACAGTGATTCGAATCAGGGATCACTGTCTACATCCCCCCGGCTAACCGCAAGCCGTTTTGTTCTCAGAACCCAGCGACGCCCCTCCGTTCACTCCGGCCGGACAGGTGACGCGCCCCGCCGCCGCCTCCCCATCGCCGCCCACTCGGGACGGGCCCCGCCCCTCATCCAGCAGCAGGCAAGGTCGGGCGGCTCGCCGGCAGCGGTCACACACATACACACACACACACACACACACACACACACATGCGCGGCGTCGTCATCGGACCAAATACGGGCGGCGCCGCGTCCCGATACAAGGTGAACCGGTCTCGGCGGTGGTCACGGTCCCGCCGGCGCCGCCCGCCACCGTGACGGCGCACCGCCCCCTCCCGTACAGGGCTGCCGGCCGGCCGGCGGGGAGACGGCGGGCCGACAGGGTGGACAGGGTGGACAGGGTGGACAGGGCGGACGGCCGGTGGGCGCGACGCCGGCTGGACTGGTCATGGGACCACATGGCTGCTGAAAGCCCCATTACGACCCCGTTAAGCCGCTGACATTGGACGGATCGCGAACGTTCTCAGTCGGCAGGCGGACCACTAGTCCTCATCAGATGAGGTGGTTCATCATCATAAGCATTGATTAAACCAGCCATTGTCTCTGATGCAAGAGCAAAAGTTTAAATTTCACATCAGGGTGGAATCAGAACAAACCAGACAGAAAAGTTATAGACCCTATGCAAGCCTAAAAATGAATACAATGGGAAGTTTGACATCATTTACTGGCACAGCTCTGTCAACAGACAAGAACTATAAGTGACCACTCTAATTTTGCTACTGCAACCAGAGCTAAAACAAAAATGATTTACAAGCACACTAACCATTGAATATTGCAAAGTGTTTCAGCTGGCCTAGGGGAGCAGGAAGACTCATATCACATCAAACATAGCCACCAAATCATCACCAAGAAACCTCACATGAAACTTAACCATTTTCCTTGTAATGCAAGACTTGATAGCTTAATTCAAGACAAGTCAGCATATGGCACTTAACCTGCATGTCTCAGCACCAAAGAAAAATTATGTAAGTACTTCTAAGCCCTGGATGACTCCCCTTTTATGTCATAGCATGCTTATGGTAAAATTTTTGGCCATGTCCAGCACATAACATTGTGAAGAGTTGACCACTGCATACATGAGTGCACTTTCTAAAATGTGGTACTACCATCCTATGCACATAATCAAAATATGTGCAAGCTGGTCTTGATTAGGCCTTTGAAAATATTGCACAGGAAACTGCTGACACATCCCAAAATTGCAAACCAAATGAAGCAGAATGCTGCCAAAGGAAATACAGGTTATGTGATCTTGTTCCTATAAATTTTAAGATGGCTATGGGCTTCACACTGGCTATAATACAAAAATGTAGCCACTAAAGCCAAGTGACACAAACTGAAGCAGCAGACAAGGCAACATGAGACCAATTTTTGTTGATTTTGTTCAAATACTACATTAGCTATCAGCTAAGGCAAGATATCCCAGAAACAATTTGACAATTTTGACAAACAAAAGACAACTCAGCTGCTTTGAAACTAAATCAGGCCATCATTCAACTTGCTTGCAGGTTTAAGACAGCTTGCTTCATACATTGCATAAAGTTCCATTTCCGATGTGAAAGCTAAAAAAATGAACTTCTTCACCAGCTGGGTGCAGCATGTAATCTACTTTCAGATGAGCAAACCAGCAGACGATCCATTATACAAAGTATGAAATAGTAAAACCCTTACAGAACCCTTACTTTGCATTTCTTACTTAAAAACCAGTGCTGAACTGGCCTCAAGGACTCTGATTGACTGGCTTTTCTGAGGCAATATTCCTTTGTTTGACACCAGTGCTTAGCTGACCTCAAGGATCTTGGTTCAGATTGGCCATTTTCAGACCATATTCCTCAGCTGGATGCCAGCACTTGACAGATCTCAAGGATTTGAAGTGAGACTGGTCATTTTGAGACAAAGTGTAGAAATTGATGAACAGCTATCAGACAATGAAGCATGGTTGTGAACATATTATCATGTGCAGCAGCCCTGTCACTTGGAGCACTGAGATGTCAAAACTGATCATTTGCCACAGTGCAGTCCAACATACTATAAACCTTGCCTCCTAAGATTGAAATATACACAGACTTTTGACCAGCACCTCAGCTAGGCTGTGTACACAATGCTTGTTACCTTTTCCTTTACTCTCCTGCTTGTTGCCACAGTGTAGGATTTCATATTTGCAAGTAGGCCCATGCTTTCACATAGCACTCCAAGAGAGACCACCTATGACACCTTTCACCAGCACTAAGTGACTATTTTTAGCCCAGCTGAACTTGGCATACCCCTCAACCAGCACCATCTGTTGAATCACATGTGCACCTGCATCCAAAACCTGGGCTTTCAGGACAGGATGTAGGCAGGTAAGCTCTGAGGTGGAACCATAGACAACCCCTGTTACCTTCTACATTATTTGCTTGGTGAATCGGAGTCCTAACAATAACCATAAGTGATTATTCTAATACTTGGCACGACTTCAACATGATAGCAAAATGAACCCGGCCCCACTGCTGCCACAGTGAGAAGGTACACTCGGCACACAAATACAAGTTTCCACAGAATGACAAAACAGCCTGATCATTGTACATGCCGAGATGAAACTCACGCAAATCGTCCGAATCTGTTGCAAGTACTCACCCTTTCTTTGGCTCTTCCTGCATGTTTTCGCACAGTTTTAGCAAAGAATTCCGGCTTTATCTCCGACATTTTCAGCGGGGAAGGCGGCGGCGATTGCGGCGCCTTGTTCCCATCAGGCGAGCGAGTTGTTGACATTGTCGGTAAATATGGACAATTCACTATCGACTACGAACGGAAGGAAACCAGGCGTGGGAAAATCAGCACCTCACGCCAGCTCCCTTACAAAACCATGCAGATTTCACGCGCGCCCCGGCACCAGCGCGGCCCACCCCAGCAGATTATCGAGACTGGTGCCTGCCTCGGCCGCGCGGTCCGCGAGCGTGCCGCGAAAACGTCAAAAGCCCTCGGGGCTCGAGGTGCCGTGCCAGGATGTCCTCATTCTAGCCGGGCGGCCCGCGAACAGGTGGGTACAAAAATAACGCCCTGCTCCTTCTCCTCGGACACAAATACTCCTGCGGGATACATTCGCAAAAACGTCACCAAAAATTCTGACTTATCGGTTTATGGCGTAGTAAACATAGCAGCAGTGGGCACAGTCGAGGTACGAAAGATATCGGAGGCAACGTTCGGCCTGCAGTTGCACAGCACTCATCGCGGATCAGCAGGTCGTGCCAGCCTCGGCCTACAGTTGCACAGCACCCATCGCGGATAGGCAGGTCGTGCCAGCCTCGGCCTGCAGTTGCACAGCACCCATCGCGGATCAGCAGGTTGTGCCAGTCTCGGCTGCAGTTACACAGCACCCATCGCGGATCAGCAGGTCGCGCCAGCCCCTTTTGCAGTCTCAGGCGACCAACATTTGTTCTGCCACGAATGTAAACGGAAAAATCTGGCAATATATCAATGTTAAAAGCACTGACGTCCCGGACAGATTTAACCTGTCCACGGCGCGTCGTTTAAAGCGTCCTGATGTGGGTCAAGATGTGCGCCAGGAGGCGTGTCGAAGTAAGGGTGTGCGAGTCTCATGAGTTACCAGCCATAACAAAACACATATTACCGAATGGCACCTTTGTACTGCTTCCGCGATTATTTCACGAAGGTAACCTACATCCTTTCGTCGCTGACAGCTGGCAACGATCGCACTGGAACGCGCCCAAAAACGGCGTTATTAATAAAATGTATTTAACACCAACAAGAGCACAAACCCACACACCCATTCCACACAAAATCGTAAGCAGTTGCAATTTTACTGCAACATAAAGAAACCGGCAAGCATGCCAAACCCAGTGACAAACAGCACATTTTGGACGAACTCCTACAAGCGGCTGAACAGCCGAACATTTACCAAAAAATAAGGCATCACTCGCTACAATACGTGTCAAACGTGCCGTGGAATACGCCGATACAGAAATGCTGACGTTTGTGAGCCCTGCCCAGCACGCACCAGACTTGTGACAAATCAAAGTTCGCACAGATCCCGCCGACTCTCCCTGATCGGAGGGCAGCGTTCGAATCAGTCAAAATCAGCCGATTCGTCCCACCCGCCAGCCAATTCCGCTCTGTCGGCAGCCATCGGCCCGCCTCCCGCCGATGCCCGAGCCCTCGCAGTGCCGGCGTTCACCGCACACCGTCCCGCATCTGAGGACGGCCGATACCGACATGGTCCGTGTCTGCCGGCCGTACTGCTGCGCGGCTCTGTGACCGGCTGGCGCGGTGCAACCACCCCACACTCCGCCCACATACATGGCGGAGTGGGGGGTGGTTGCATCGACATGTCTCCGCCTAAGGCCGCGCCCGTCACCAGGCGGGGACCGCGGGCGACGCGTGACCCCGCCCTCCGGCAGGCCGCCCGCACAGCCACGAGACCTGCGGACGGGATCACCCGAACCAGTGCGGAGCGCGGCCACGGTGTCCGACGGCCCTGCTCTCCGTGCCGGCCGCGTCCCCTGAGGCTCCGGCCCGAGTACGCGTCCCCAGCACACCGCAGCGCCCTCTGTCGCGGGCCCGCCGCACGCCAATACTGATCGCCCTCGATCCATGAGTGCGGTGCTAACCCGGTGCCCGTACTCTCGGGTAAGCTGCTGCGGTGAAATAAGGGCGTGGGCACACAGACAAGAATGTCCTCATTTTTATGTCGTCTTGAGCTGAACGAAGGACTCCGCCGGGTATCACGAACGCTCTGCCTAAAACGTCCCCTCTTTTACGCTATGAACCGGGCGGGCCATTCCAAAGAAATGAACCAACGCCAGCTTTCAATAGTTTTAATGACTTAGCGCGAAATCACGAGGCCGGTGATCTAACGCATCTTGCCGCGCGCTGTCAGCGCGGTAGGTAAGTTCGTCACCGGGCTCCCCACGGAAATCAGACCGCCGCGGATGCCGCGCCCGCGTCTCCGCGGACGGCGGCCGGGGTTCACAGTCGGCAGCTGCGGCCGGCGCCGGGGGCGGGGCGTTCGCGGGCGCCCCTCCGGCCCCGCAGCGGTGGCGCCGCCTATGTCCTGGCGGCCGGCCGGCGGCCCTTCATCACGACCGGCTGGTTCTTCAGCGCGCCGCGGCGCCTCTTGGTGGTCTGCCGGCGGCGGATGGCGTCAGGGCACAGCGAAGCACGTGGGGCAGGGACGAGATGATCCAGTCAGCCAAGCAGACGAGAGACACGCTCGAAACTCACTGCTCCAACGTGAACACACGAGGTCTTTTTCTCGAACGAAAAAGACCGCAAAAATAACAGCAAGTCGATCCAGTGTCAGCAACGAATTGGATTGAAATCGGTTTGTTGCAAGCATACCTTCTTGGAAAGGGTGACCTTGCCACGCTTGATTTGCCTCTTCTTTTTGGGTATGTTCGGACGGTTGAACTCATCTGGTTTCTTCACCCTGAAATCCGAATACGCCACACATTAAACCACTGGAGCTTGTACCAGAGTTGGCAGACACTGACTGAATTAGTTTCCCTCAGCCAGCGGTATGTGGTCAGAACTGGCTAGGAGTAAGTACTGGTGGCAAAATTAGCAGAAATGTATGCGCTGGAAATACACATTTTGCACTGCAAAAATAAAATGAAATATCACAACAAAGTGATAAAAATGATTGCTTAGCATTTAATTGGGAATATGCTTGAAGAAAAAGCAAGCTGACTGGCTGAGAAAGGTCACAGTCTGCAGTCAAAGTCAAACCTTACAGTCAAAGGTTACTGCAAGTTTACAAGATGTACACATTTACTATTACAATGTAATGCATGTGAATCTCTAGGTGGAAGCACACAACAACTATTTAGAGGATGAGCAGTTGCAACTGATATAAGGTTCTGTGCCTACTGGTTAAGGGCTGCATGCTACCAATTATACCAGACACACCATGAGTTTATCACACTGTGCTGATGCCAAAGTTACATGTAAAAGTTACATGAGAATGGATGTGATATACATGGTTGATGTGATATACATCTGGTTGATTGACTACAGAGGGAACACCTGATGGCTACAATTTGATCATCCATTAGACTCATGAATTGGACTGGCCTCCTGATTTCACGTTGGTTGATGCCGGTTTCAACCAGTTATAACCAGTAAACGCACATGACAGGAAGTAGCTACAGCTGGCTGAAATGCCAACTGTAGCTACTTAGCTACGGTAGCCAACTGTATCGCCAACATATCAGATCAATGCACAGGACTTCAGCACATACATGCTTACAAACACCGCAACGTCATATTTCTGAAAGCCATAACTAAAAGCGATGAAACACACCATCGCCCCCCGCCCCTCGTTCCACGCGTCTCCTTAGCCCGTCACGATTCCCGAGGTGCTGTGAAGACAGCTAGAAGCATCCCCTAATCGGTACGCGCCTCAACCGATGTGACAAGGGAAACTCAGCAGAATGCGTTTGGCTGGACCAGATTATGATTCCAAGACCCGCCCTATCGCCAGCGCTGGTCCCCAACTGCTACGCTGATGCCGCCCTGAGCATGGACACTGGCTGACCATCCAGTCGACAAGCCGTTAAACTCCCCACCACCACTGCAGCGGCCACTGGTCGTCTCACCTGTATATCCTGACTAGCCAGTGCTCGGTGGTGTACGCCTCCTCCAGGTACGTCAGCCCGAAGTTTTTGTGGCCGATCTCCGAATTGCGCGTGCGGTCATATCCGGCCGGCACGCGGTAGTCGGTCTGGGGGCGGCACCAGCCCTGGTCAGCTGCCCCACCCACCGCACACTAAACACTTGTAACAACACGCCCTTACAGCTCCCCACTTTACCTCATGTCACACACACGCGCCACGCTCGTACAGCTCCCCACTGCACCTCAGATCAAACACACGCGCCGCGCTCTTACAGCTCCCCACTGTACCTCACATCACACACACGCGCCGCGCTCTTACAGCTCCCCACTGTACCTCAGATCACACACACGCGCCGCGCTCTTACAGCTCCCCACTGTACCTCAGATCACACACACGCGCCGCGCTCTTACAGCTCCCCACTGTACCTCAGATCACACACACGCGCCACGCTCGCACAGCTCCCACTGTACCTCAGATCACACACACGCGCCACGCTCTTACAGCTCCCCACTGTACCTCAGATCACACACACGCGCCACGCTCTTACAGCTCCCCACTGTACCTCAGATCACACACACGCGCCACGCTCGCACAGCTCCCACTGTACCTCAGATCACACACACGCGCCACGCCCTCACAGCTCCCCACTGTACCTCAGATCACACACACGCGCCGCGCTCTTACAACTCCCCACCGTACCTCCCTACATGCACAAAACACGGCCAACCAACGGACCGCGACGGAGTCAGACCACATCACTGGCTCGGATCAGGTGGACCGACCGTTGCCCGCCCGACCCCCCCCCCCCCCCTTGCCTAAAACGTACCCACGGCCCTGCCCCAGCCGCGCTCCTGCCGGCCTCGCTTACCTTCATCTCGCCGAAGCGGTAGTAGGAGAGCTTATACATGAGGCAGTTGAGCAGCGTCTTGGAGCCGCCGGCGTCGACGCGGAACTCGCCGCGCTCGGTGAAGTAGTCGCTCTCCTTGATGTCGTGCGGGTGCTCGCCCTCGGCGATGCGCACCATCCACAGGAACTTGTTGATGTCGTCGCCTGAGTAGCCTGGCGAGCGGAGCGGGCAGTCAGCGGCGTACGCACGGCGGCCGGCCACCGCTCGGACCGGCACCGGCCACGCACCCGATTGGGACCAAGTGTCACTGCGGAGCACGTGAAGCACATGTTCAGACAGTGTGAAGGTGTAAGGGATGATACCGAGGCGCCTGAGCGAGAAGACACCATTGGGGACGATCGAAGAGTAGGTACGTACAACAGTTCAATGCTATTTCATAAGTCCCCGCGGCCAATCGTCTTTGAAGT